TATAAAGTTTATCTCCCTTGCATTACTGAAAATTTTGAAATTGAGATTAACCTACTGTATACATATCCACAAATATTTTAACCCCTTGAAGATTGTTTCAGATGAGATTGAAAGTGCTTTGGAAAATAAAAATTCTTTTAAAGAAATTTTTGGTATTTCTCTTGATCTATTTTTTATACAGCCACCAAGAAATTATTTGTGGGGTTGAAAGGATTAAAACTAAAATGAATAGACATAATACGTCTAAATTATTTAACCAAACCTACTTGAATGAAAATATGCTGCCTAAATGCATATATATATATATATATATATATATATATATATATATATATATATATATATGATATAATTTTTACATACGGACCAAAACAACTTGCTCACTAAAAAAGTGCATTCTTGTTTCGATGCGAATGCATCTCGACTGGTGAGAACAAAAATGCTTATATCCATTATTGCTCTACTCTTGGTATTGAGCCCTCTTTTGAATTAATAATGTGAACGTTAGAATTTCTATTATTTTCGTTATCATTACATTCGAATATATATCTATCTATCTATATATATATATATATATATATGAAGAAATATAGTTTGAACGTGTGCTATATTTATGGGATAAAATGCTCAATATCAGAGATAGAACGTATGTAATTGCGCCCAGCATGAAACAGCCTGTCGCCTCTGACTGTTGACTTCAATATATATATATATATATATATATATATATATATATATATATATCCTGGTAAGATGTGAACGAATAGAGTACAATTCCAACGTTTGCGTAATATTTAATTTAAAAGACGGCTAAATACAAAGTAGAGCAATATACTTTATTTTGTGTAGCGATATTCTTTTTTGGTGTCGCGATTTTGACATGTTTTCGATGTAATATCCTAAAATAAAGTATAAGATATATATATATATATATATATATATATATATATATATATATAATCATATTTTGTTCTTGTTTGTACTTCTCGGTAATAAGAGGACAACGAAAATAGAGATGAAATCCGAAAAATGCTATGAGAAATGTGTTATTTTTTTTGAACGTGCGGTTTTTGAACGTCCGCGTGTGCAAATATTATATTTCCTGCACTTATGTGTAGTGTGTGCTCCGGGCCACTAAAATATCTTGGTTTTATACGCCTAACAACAAAGACAATGAAAGAGAAATTTAAAGTATAAGCGATGCCAGTAACTCAGAATAGCCCAATAGCATGTTGTCAATATCTGTTCAATTGATGTCTGGTCGGGGGCGATCAGATAAATTGGTAAACTAGACTAGTGATTAAAATCGATATTGTATTTTTAAGTGGAATCTGAATTTCATGTGAAGATGTACTAATCTTGGCTAAGCATTGAATATAAAAAAAACAGTTGAATTAGTTTTATAACAACTTCAAACAACTTGATTTCTTTAAGGACAACGTAAAACTGCCAGACTGGTTTTATAAACTTGAATACAGTTGTAATAAAAAGAATCAATCTCGTTGTTTTAAGCATATTACAAAGACTTCAGATATTCAGATTGATTTTATAACAGCTCAAAACAGCGAAATTTGTTCTAGAACAAATAAAATTTATCAGTCTGGTTTTATAAAACAGAAAACGGTTAAAAAATTGTTTTAAAAACTTCAAACAATTAGAATGGTGTTTATATAATCTCAGAGCGCCGTAATGTGTTTTAAAAAAAATAAAATATGCCGTACTAGTTTTATAAATTTGAAAATAGTTAAAATTATTTTATACGACTAGATGTTTGTAGACAAATATAAAACTAATCAATGTTGCCCTTTAGTCTTAATCCTTGGTATGATGATAAACTACACCCGGCAGCAAGACCTCTGATTGGGAGATTGGAGGTTTTGAGGAGCATCGAAGCACCTCTTAATTGCTGCTGTTCCCAGGTTCACTCTTATCCGGGGTGGTAGCCCCTGTTAGGCGTGTGAGCTATGGGCAAACCCATGACCCCCCCCAAACAAAAACAAAACACTATGAAAGTATAAAAATATATTTTATATTAAAAATACCAGCAGGACATTTTTATATAAAAAATGACCGACAATCCATATTTATAATAAAATTTTCAACAATCGATATTTATAGTAAAATGACCGATAATCCATATTTATAGTAAAATCTTCAACAATCCATATTTATAATAAAATTACCCACAATAGAATTTTAAAGCAAAATGTCCACCAATATATTTTATCATTACAATTGCGTTAAAAATATATTTAGTTGAAGTCATAAAATTGTTCAATATATTTAGATTTCGGCATTAAATGACCTATAGAGGTTTATATGCCACGAAACAAAATCAACCAACCAAGCTTTAGTCATAAGTGTAAAGCCGTCTAATGTCTGTCGATATACTATAACTATACACTCTTATGAAATTAATTGAAACAACCGCTTTAGTTTCCTTTCTTTCACCATACGGTTAATTTTAGACCCACTGGAGTGACAAAGCGTAATCGATTTCTATTTTCTCCTCAGATTAGGTCATTTGCAGTGGTGTGCAGTAATATGAAATTATTTTCGGGGTGCATGTTTGGCCTTGAAAAATAATGCGTCATCCTTGATTGCATCTGATTTTCATTACGCCCAGACACTATTGTCTCGACTGTCGATTAGCTGTCCTACGACCATTGGACGTTACTCCAAAGAAGTGTACGAAAATTGTAACGCTGCACGAACACACTGACAAGCCTTACCCGTAAGCAAATCAAAGTATTATAGACTGGCCCAGAAACTCTCCTGATTTAAATCCAATCGAGAATCTGTGGTCAATTTGCAAGGAACGATTTAGTTGAATGGACATACGAAGTACTAACATGTGCACTGGGTCATGTTCCATTGGGAAAATACGAAAAAAAAGTAAATAATAACGGAATTATTTGTTTTGTTTCAATTAATTTGCATAAAGGTGTATTAATTTTCACCTCCCGATAAGTAAAAATACAACCAGTGTTTACCCCAGTATAAACAGGACCAATGTTTACCTATAAACTAAAGTATAATGCAAAACTATTCATTAATTATCCGTTAGTAAGGTAGGGTGCCTTAACATCTCTACGAAATTTTTTCTTTATTATTTAGCGAGAAGCAAGTCAGATTTTCGTCAATTAGCTTTCTGAAATAACTCTGTTGTAGTCATATTGTTTGTGTGAAGTCCAAACTGTTTGAGGCAAACTTGAGTATTCCTGCCTGAAAAAAGTCAAAAGGATTGTTTTTTTCTTTCCTTTGATGCTACTATTGTTTAAACTACCTTCACTCCTCGACAGTGTCTGTTGTTTTAAAGGGATTATTAGAATTAGAATAAATCCTAAACATATGAAAATGAATTGATACATTTTCTTTGTTCTTGAGAATTGAAAAACAAAAACAATAAACACTAATTATTATTTTTTTTTAATCTTTTCACCCCAAGCCACTAGCACGCAGGGGGTTACAGAGAGTTGGAGCGAGAGCAAAGAGGAGTGATAGAGGAAAGGATGAGGTGAAGGATAGGGGATAGATCAGGGCATCTGGAGACGTCGATTGACATTACATTTGAATAGTTGGAGATTATAGCTATCAGGGAAACGGGAAGAGGGGAGGGAGTTCCACAGGCGAGAGGTGCGAGACATGAAGCTATTGAAGTAGAAGAGACGGCTACATTTAACAGTTTCGACAGTGAAAGGGTGTGAGCGAGATGCCAGCCTAGTAGAACGCTTGAATTCATGAAGTTTTGGAACCAGCGAAGGCAGATCCACGGAGCAGTTACCATGACAGTAATTGTAAAAAAAAAAAAAAGACAGAGGGAGGCGACGGGACGTCTGTGTGAGAGCGACTGCAGACGAGATGCCAGATCAGGGCCAATTACGTTGCATATCCGTCTCTGGATCTTATCAAGAACCTTGAGACAAACATAAGGGGCACAAGACCATATATGGCAGCAATACAAGGGCGAATGGTTGATTTGTAAATTTGAAGGATCGAAAAATTTCCTGGCACGGCACAGGGAGCCAACTTTCCTTGCGGTGGACGAAGCTATTGACTCAATGTATTCGTTCCATCTCAGGTCAGCGGACAATGTGAGACCGAGTACATTGTCTTGTATTTATTATTAATTATTTATTAGATTGTATATTTAAACTATTTATTATTTATTTATGATATGTATGTGAGAGAATGTGTGTAACTCAGACAGGGGGGAGGGTCAGGGAAAAAGGATTTTTTTTCTTAGGGCGGGTGATTAACATGGATGGTAATGAGATAAGTGTATGCAGAATGTGATTTTTGAGCGAGTTTTCGTATGTGTACATGTATGTATATATGACTCAGTGAAGGAAATCGTTACTTACCACTTCTACGCTGCCATGTTTCTTACCAGATAGTAACTCTGGTTGCGTTTACGTCTTTTTTTTTTTTTTTTTATAGAAGTGTGGACATTGCTGGTGAACCGGAAGTTATCTGGGATTGGAACATAAATTGCCAACAGAAGTCACAGTGTGTGGTCGGGAGGATGGAAAATATTGTACCTAACGGAAGCTACACAAGTCGATACCCGAGCAGTATCGACTGGGTCTCAGTAGAGAAGAGGTATGATGTTGAAAGACCCGAAACCTCTGATGAACCTCGGCTAGAAACATCACTGATGATGTGTATTAAAGCATCCAATAGATATATTTTACGAAATAATATTTATTGGAATGGTTGGCAAAAAAATCGGCTACTTGCCAAACTTATTGAAACTTTATAAAATGGTAAATAATAAGGATTTCTTTATAGTTGCTTCACTTTTTTAATAATTTAGTAAATGTTTATATATTTATGAATAAAAGTTGTTTCATATTTCTATCTTCATATATTCTTAACTGAAAAATATTACATTGATGTGCATTAATTTTAATTGTACGGGTTTTTAGAATGTTGTAAATATAAAATTTATTCTTGTAAAAACATATTTCATACTTTAAAAAAAAGTTGAATGGGCAACATCATGAAACATTTCGAAGACGGGTATAAGACGACCTCGCGTCCCGAAGACCGGTACTAGGCGACGTCACGTCCCGAAGACGGGCACTAGGTGACCTAGCGTTCCGAAGACGGGCATCAGGTGACGTCACGTCCCGAAGACGGGCACTAGGTGACCTAGCGTTCCGAAGACGGGCATCAGGCGACGTCACGTCTCGAAGACGGGCACTAGGTGACCTAGCGTTCCGAAGACGGGCGCAAGGCGACCTAGCATTCCGAAGACGGGCATCAGGCGACGTCGCGTCCCGAAGACTGGCACAAGGCGACGTCACGTCCCGAAGACGGACTGAGTAAAAAAGAAAAATGTGTCAAAAGCACAGTTTTTCGATTGACACCACTAACCTCCACTTCCTAGGTAACATTTATTGTTTTGAAAAACGGCCATTAGAATTTTAATAAAACCTAAACAGGTGTGAATTTATACATTTTCTTTGTTCTTGACAATTGAAAACAAAAGTAATAAACATTATTTGTTAGAGTATTTATAGGAATGATTGGTTTGTTTGTTTGTTTTATTTTACGGCACATCAATCTCTTTAATGCCGACAACTTTTTTTTTCTGGCAATATTTTTGTTTCGTCAAAAATCCATTTTTTTTTTCTCAAAAATGTATAGCTGGTATTATTTTTTCAAAAAAGTATAGCTGGTAATATTTTTTTTTCAAAAACGTATAGCTGGCAACATTATTTTTTCAAAAACGTATTATCAGAGGCCTTGCTATTGGACGTAGCTTATCGTCTTACCCAGGACGCGGATGTAGTTTATCATCATACCCAGAAAGCGGATGTAGTTTATCGTCTTACCCAAGATGCTGGAATGATTGGCAAAAAATGGTAAATAATAAGGATTTCCTTATAGTTGCTTAACATATTTCAATAATTTAGTAAATGTTTATAAATCCATGGATAAAAATGATATATTTCTCTCTTCATAAATTCTTAAATGCTAAATATTACATTGATGTGCATTAATTTTAATTTATGTGTTTTTAAAATGTTGCAAATATAAAATTATTCTTTTAAATAAACAATCTAATAATTAAATAGAATTTATTACGTTGGTTTTAAATTCTCAAGAACAAAAATTTATAAATTCACTTTCATTATATGCTTAGGTTTTATTTCAGTTTTAATCATCATGACATTTTCTACTGAGCATTTTTGTAAAAATTAAAAAAAGATAATAAACAACCTAGGTTCACTAACTTTTTACATAGATAAAGCCCTTCGTAATGTGTGAGCTGTATTTGTGGTAACATTGTCTTGTATTTCTTTAAGGCAAGGGGCTACCAGGGATCCCTTGAATGAATATATCGGAACCTTTTCCAGTCAATTCGAGTGCTCCAACTACAACTGGAATTATTGATGTCCTCATGTGTCACATTTTTGAGATTACCATTTCAAGGTCCTTGTATTTTGATAGTTTTTTTGAAGATCTTCAAAGATACAATAGAATCTGCAGGGACTGCCATATCAATAAGAAAACACTTATAGCTTTTGTGGTCTTTGATCTAAAATGTCTGGGCGATTAGCTTTGATTTTTCTGTCTCTGTGTATTGTAAAGTTCCATAAAATTGTTACAGGTCCTATGTCTGTAACCAAGCCTGGGTGATATTCATACCAGTTTCATGCAGTTTCCTTCCCGTAAATGTTGCATATTTTCCAGATATTGACCGACCCTATCATGCCGGGTTTTATATTCAGTGAGTGTCAATACCGCAAAATCTGTTACAATATGGTCAATTTTTCAGTATGCTTGCTTGATAATTTCTAGTAAGCAAGTATTTGTCCTGTGCAGCAAGAATAAAACCTTCAGTTTCAGATTTTAACCGCTGATGCGTATGGTGCTTGCCTACATATGTTTGATTGGCATGTACAGTTTTCTGCATGAAGAGGTTTGTTGTCATCGTTTCTGCATTTGGTGCAATGCATTTGCTTTTGCTTTGTATTTTAGGTTCTTTTTAGGTGCATTATGTTTTATTTGCACTTCTTCATCCACTTGAAATTCTATTGCCTTCTTTTATTAGAGAATTCTTCTTCTTCTTCTTCTTCTTCTTCTTCTTCTTCTTATTATTATTATTATTATTTACACTATTTACATTTTTCTGACTATTGTACTCATCTTTGTCACCATATTTATTACAACGTTTCTGCCGTTCTACACTCCGGCCTCCTCCAGGTGGTTGGAAAGGACGAACTGAACTATGCCATGTGTCCTCAAGGACACATGGCACATTGGATAGAGGCGTTGGTTAGATCCAGTGACAGGACCCAAAGAGTGTCAGTTCATTACCCAGTTAAGGCAGTGGAGAACTTGCAGAGGGGAATTAACAGGAGATAACTGATAAGTGGCATCCATAAAACATGGCACGTGGAACTAGAACAGTCTACCCCAGTGAGCGAAATAAAGGGTTCAGTTCGACATTCCAACCACCTGAAGAAGGCCGGAGCGTACAACGGCCGAAACGTTGTAATAAATATGGCGACAAAGATGAGGACAGTAGTCCGAATAATGTAAATAGTGTACATAATATCTCATCTCAGAAATATAGACATATTATTATTATTATTATTATTTGTGTATATTACGTTTCATGCTTTTTATCCTGCAGATCCTAGTTCAAACTATGGTTCTTAGTCCCTATATTTAGTCATTTAATTGATAGCACTTTTCTTAGTATATGGGATGTTCCTAGTTAGGGCAATCTTCTGGGCAACTTGTATGTTGATGTTACCTGGGACACTGTTAGTAAAATTGTCCATTCCTTTTCTCGTGAGACCCAGTGCTCCGATTACTATTGGTACTGCCTCAGTCTTTATTCCCCACATTCTGTTAATCTCGATCTCCAGTTCCTTGTATTTGGAGAATTTCACCATAATTTTCATGGTGTTGTTTGCCTCAGATGGTACTGCTATGTCAATAAGCATACACTTGCTTAATTTCTTGTCTTTTATGATAATATCAAGTCTGTTAGTATTTATTTCCTTGTCAGTTTTAATTGGCATGTCCCAGAGGATAGTTACATCATTATTTTGGATAACTATGTCTGGTTGCTGCTCATACCATATCTCAGTGGTTTCGATCTTGTGCTTCTTGCTTACCTCCCAGTGAACACATGTCATTACCTCGTTCAGTCTCTGGCTATATTCATTTTTGCCAGTTCCGGACATCCTGAGATAATATGGTCGACAGTTTCATCATATTTTCAGCAGATACTGCATTTCGGATTAGTTCCATCCTTGATTATGTGACAGTGACAGGATCAGGTTTCGAGGCTTTGGTCCGGAGCTTCAATATTTAAATCTTCTGAATTAGAATTCAACCCGGTGCTCCTAAGCCACTGTTGGTCCACATTTGCTTCTTTCATTCTTTTTATGTGTTTGCCATGCAACGGTTTGTCCTCCCAGTCTTTTGTAATTTCATTTGGCTAAGTTGTTTCAGTTGTAGATGGTATTCACTTAGTTTTTAGTTGGTAGGATTTCAGGTATAATAAGCTGATTCTCGATGAGTGCAGCTTTTTTGGTGATGGAGTCGATTTGGTGTTTTACTGTTTGTAGGAGAGGGTCATTGGTTTTTGTGAGGTATGCTCCCAATTGTTACAGGACCTATCTCTGTAACTGAGATTGGATGGTCTTCATACCAATGTCTTGCAGTTTCCTTTCCGTAAAAGTTTTATATTTTCTAATACAGATAATGGGTCAATCTATCATGTCGGGTTTTATATATTTTATATATGCCAATACCGTGCAACCTGATACAAGATGGTCAATTGTTTCTGGAGATTTATCACCGAATCTCCATTTGGGGCTAACACAATTTTTCAGTATGTGTGTTTGGTAATTTCTAGTTAGTAAGCATTGGCCCTGCGCAATAAGAATAAAACATTTGATTTCAGCTTTTAACCCTGTGCTACGTATCGACTGATGGGCACGGGGTAGGGTGGGGGGTATTGTCTGTCTATACCACATTGTTTGGTACAGTCAGAATATTGACCGTGAGGAGGTTTACGCTTCCATCGTTTCTGTATTTGGTCGATTGCATTGGCCTTTGCTTCCTTTTTTATGGATTTTGCAGCTTCAATAGGTGTATTATATTTTTAATCTGCATTTCTTCAACCATTTGGAACTTCATTTTGAACTTGTTGACTTCATTTATTATTATTATTATTATTATTATTTTATTTCCTTTTATTTTTGGTGTGTACTCATTTCTTTTAGGGTCCCGCTCAGAGAACTAAGGTCAGAAATGGCATCATGACATTTTCCACTGAGCAATTAAAAAAAAACAGACACATATTTTACATAGACAAAGCTATTCGTAAAGTGAGGGCTGTACTTGTGAGAACAATTGTTTGTATTTCGTTAAGGCATGGACTTCCAGGAATCCCTTCAATGAGTCTTCTGTAATCTTCTCCAATCAATCCGAGTACTCCAACTACAACAGGGATTGTTGATGTTCCCATGTACCACATTTTTGAGATTTCTATTTCAAGGTCCTTGTATTTTGACAGCTTTTTAAATATCTTCAAAGACACATTGCAGTCTGCAGGGACTGCCATATCAATAAGGAGGCACTTTTTTGTTTGTGGTCTTTAATAACAATGTCTGGGCGGTTGGCTTTGATTATTCTGTCAGTGTGTATTGTGCTGTATCATGGCCAATATACAGAAAAAACAAACAAAAATCTTAATATGCAATGATGCTGTATTAATGTTAATATAAAGTCAACGTCGGACGTTTCGGTCTATTTTAGACCATCATCAGGACATATTCATTAAACATAATTAACATTAGAACATATAAAATTCAACATGAAAAGACGATGGACATGTTCAATTTTATATGTTCTAATATTAATTATGTTTTATGAATATGTCCTGATGATGGTCTAAAATAGACCGAAGCGTCCGACGTTGACTTTATATTAACATTAAAACAGCATAATTGCATATAAGATTTTTGTTTGTTTTTTTCTGTATATTTTTCTTCATACTGTCGGATCTATATCCATATATTTGCTTATATATATATATATATATATATATATATATATATATATATATATATATATATATATATATATATATATATATATATATATATATATATATATATAGCTAATATTAGTGGTAAATATACACATACATATGCAAAATATATAAATATATATACATAGGTGCATACACATACATATATATATATTTTGAATAAAAAATTCCAAGAGGATAGAATCCAGGTAAAACTCAATGCCCAAGACAGAGTAAGGATATAATAAAAAGGCTTAAACACTAATATTCCATGGTCATAATTTATTCCATTGGAATCGTAAATACGATCTAATTCATCAGACTTAGAAATTCAAAAAGAAAACAGAAAAAACAACTCCGATATTACCTTTTAGATGGTAGATGCGATAGAATTAGTCAGCAGGATAATATATTTTTTGATATTCAGAAAAACAAAAAACAAAAAAACAAAAACGGCTCCTCCTGAGAATCCCAATCGATAAAAAAAAGCTCGTAGAGTTACCCATTCACTACAGTCATAGTGGTAGTGTTTCTAGGGCAAGACAACCTGACGGAGCCCAACCCTCTTCAAGCTGATTTTGGGGTTCTTCGGCAAGTAGCCGCCTTCAGTCAAGGGAACCGAGTCTGCCTATTTAACCCATAGCTGAACGGGGGTAGATTATTGTTTTTTTTTTCAAGGGCATTATCGCAAATTGATCGAAACAGAATCCAGCAGGAATCGAACCTGGCACGCCTAATTTAATTTACTTTCCGCGTCGATATCTCTTACACCACCCGCGCATCCGCTTTCCTCCATACATAAACATATAGCCTGTCACAAACATCGTTACCAAACGAATAGATTTCTCGTCCAGATCTAACTCTTTCATGAGATATCGCAATAAAATTCCTTCTGATAATCAAATTTACCTGATTTCCCATAAGGCCTCCGGAAGTCATTATTTTCTCGAATGAAGTACTTTCGCAAGCAACACCTTTTATCGGACTTCCTGTCTTTACTTTCATTTTTTTCTTTATTTTTCGCGATACCAATTCGACAGCCAGAACATTGTATGGTTCCTTAGTAAATTAGCCCGAGTCTGGCGAAGAATGTATGATGCTATTTTTAAAATAAAGTTCCAAATTTCTTTCGTCTTTTTTTTTTGTTCTTTCTATTTTTGCTTAATAAGTATATGCCCAGAAAAAAACCAATATGGCGGTTTCTTTGAATTCCTTGAGTGCTTGATTAAAACACTTTAGCTTCGACAGATCAAAACCGCTAGCTGGTTTGCAAAAAAAAAAAAAAAGCTGACAAAAAATGTACGCCGACTGCTACCTGAATACCAAATCGATCTTTTGACAACTTCCGTTATTCTCAAATGATAGGCCCAAACCCTCAGGGAAGTAGTTTCGAATCCAAAAGGAGCCATTTAAACTAGGAAATGAATTAGAGTTTGTAATGTAATCAATCCTCACCAGGGATCTCGACAGTCACATTCTCACCGACATTGCTTCCGTCTATCATTTTTACAAATATCTTCATGGCAAGTGAATTATTTCATTTAGCAAGCAGAAATTTATTTTTCTCCTGATGATGGCCATGTTGGCCGAAACTAGTCGAGGAATCTAAATGAAATAATGATAAAAACGAAAGAATATTAATATACAACCCAGTGTGTCTGAAGATTTTAATTTTTAATATTTTATTGTTCAATATATATATATATATATATATATATATATATATATATATATATATATATATATATATATGTATGTATGTATTAGTTGTAACAGAAAAACTGTCCAAATCGTGTAACAGCGTGGGATAATTGTCCATCCAAAAAAATGTTTAATATGTAAAAAAAAAAAAAAAAAATACTAAGTTAGTTTAGTTCCTTTTTTCCAGGTTTTCAGCTGAGACTTTTAGCCATCTTGACATCTTTTCTCATAAGAATCCCTGAAAACCCCTTTGAGTTATTCAGCTTGAGGGAGAACAGATTAAAATCGTTTTGTGTCCGCACCACTGTATTTCCAGTTGAGCAATGGTGAGAAGAAAATATTCAGGCCTTCAGTAATGATCTCAAAATTCATACACTGGCTTCCATCTTCAAAGACAATTCAATATCAATCAAGAGAACGGTGAATAAGTTTAAAAAGTAGAGAGAAAAGCCAGATCAGGCGGTCATAACAGGAAAAAAGATCATTATTTCACCTTAGAGCTAAATATATACTTATTGTTCAAAGTAGAAGCCAATAGTGTTATAAAATCCATGAAGAATTCCAGTAAGATATCTTTAATCATTTCTAAGATACAACGGTTCAAATATAACAATTGGACAATTTTGCTGTCACACGATTTGGACAATTTTGCTGTTACACGTGGTATGAGTGCGTGTGTGTTCGCGTGTCTCTGTGTGTGGTAAAAACAGTTTTACATAGATAAGTAAATAAGCAA